GAAGCACAACATACAGTTACTAATGTTCCTCGTTCTGCAGATACGATTCTTCCTACTTGTTTACTTCCTTTACCTGCTAAAACTTTTACTGGCTTTTGTACTGTTGTTAAACCAGTTTCATCAACATTATATATGCAATAAGGATCAAACTTATATCGATTTCTTTTTTGATGCAAGTAGTAAATAACTTGACAAACTTTTTTCATATTCTGCAGTAAAAACTTGTTCATTGTTGTAATTAGGCTTAAAAGATTCATTTGGGTTGAGCTTTTTTTTATTACAATATCTTTTTAAGGTCATTCGCTTTATGCTAAACTTGCGAGCTACAACATTCACTGGTCTGCCCTCTAAAACTTCATTAACAGCTGATTTCATTGTATCACATGATATAGCAACTCTGTCTGTTTTTTTTTTTCTATACCTAAGATTTAAAGATCTAAAAATTTAAAAAAAAGTAAAATAAAATGATTGTAAAAAAAAAATATTTTATATAATAATATTATGTAAACTAATTGTAAAACTTATGTAAAACTAAAAACTAATGTTTATTAGTTTTTAACACTATTACATTTTAAAAATGAAATTTTAAAAGTTTATATAAAGATTTTTTATTCGTCATAAGTTTAAATGTATAAAATTTAAACAAAAAATTTAAGTCTTATAATATAAGTTATATGGGGCACTTTGATCCTCCGATCAATGAGCCCCGCATAGTTAACGATCAATGTGCCCCATTAGGTACAGTTGATATATTGATGCCAATAACTTCTATAAATACAGTAACTAACTCAAAAAAACAAATTTATTATAAACTTAACACATTTGAGTTTACAATAAATTGGTTGTAAAGTCATACGGAAATCTAATTAAAAATTTATTTGAATTTGTTTACAACTTTCAAAAATCACTTTTCATGATGAAAAACAGTCTTTTCAATTTTCTTAACGCTGAAGTTGATCTTATCAAAAATTATTACAATTAAGCAATGAAGGGTAGTATAATGGTTAATTAAATTGCAATCTCTGTTAAATTAAGGCAAAAGTAAACGAGCAAAAGCTTAAAGATCATACTGCCCCGGCGATCAATGCGCCCCCATCTCCCCTACTTTTTATTTTTTCATTTTTACGACTTCAATTATCAATATAATTGCCTGTATGTTTCAGGGGAAATAAATTGAAAACTTTTTATTTATGCGTGATAAATAAATGTTTAAATCTTGAGTGACTATTTAATAATTTAAATAATGATTTTTTAACGAAAATAAATGCTAAAGATCAAAATTAGGGAGAGCTTGACGCAATGCAATTTTCAAGTGAAATTCAAACTGTAAAACTTGATAAATGTTTCAGTATGTTTTAAAATTACTTAATTTGAAGTTTACGTACATTAGATATTATCATACACTTTCGCTCAAGCTTGCTTACAACAAAATGTACGGCGACGCTTTCTCGCCACAACCTTGGTTGCAATGGCTACCAAGGGTTCCGTGTCAAACACGCTCGAAGGGGCATGAATATTGTGATCAAAAACTTTTAATCTAGCTTGATTTACTACATCCACGATGCTAAAACATATATTTTGATGTACCTGCATAATTTTGACAACCCTTGAACGCAAAAGAATATAACAATTATATATTTTTTTTGATTCCGGTTGAGGTTTATCAAATTGAGGTATATCAAATCGTTTTGTGTGCGTGAAAATTCCATAGATTCACAATTTCATACCATAGTTGTATGACAATGTGAATCTATGGGATTTTCACGCACACGCAACGATTTGATATACACTTGAGTCAAGCTCGACTTAAACTTTATAATGCAACCGATAGCGACAGAGTATGGGTTTTCCCCTCAAAAAATACTCTGCCACTATTGGTTACAAAGTAAAGTTCAAGTCGAACTTGACTCAAGTTTGCTTCTTGCATTTAGTCTATTATTTTATTAATAATAAAACTAATAAAAGTTCTCCAATTTACTCATTTAATTCTAACCCCTATAAATATTTTTTAAACAAAGAATGGTATTCGTTAGTAATGTTATTATAGTATTAATTAAGTTTAAAGCGAAATCACGCACCGAACAGAAAAACGCAAATTTTAGTTACTAGATTAACTTAAATTCTTTAAAAATATAAGTTTCAGCAGTATATATTTTTTTTAAAATAGTATTTTAAATATTGTTAAAGATTTCTAGAAAGTTACAGAATTGCACCATCTATCATAGAATCACAGCATTTGTTTAAATGTAGTTCATGTATGGTCACGCACAGAAGTTGCAAATTTGTCAGTTTCATGTAGGGTAGAAGATTTGTTTTTTGCTGTATTCCGCTCTTTAAAAGTTTGTTTACTTGTAACTTTTTATTCATATACTCTCTTTATATGAAATATGCAGCAAAATGTATGCAGCAGTAAAGAAAATATTATACGCGTTACTATCCCATTTTGATTGCGGCATTATTGTTTTTACTTAAAAACAAAGTTACTTAACCAATATATTTTTTGCGGTATGAAATCTGTTTTTTGCGGTAGAAATGTTTTTTGCGGTATTTGAAAAAATGACGTATAAATTCTTTTTTTAAAAAAACGCAATAATTTTATAAAGAAACATTAAAATTAAATGTATTTGAGTTTGTAAGAATAAAAAAAAAAATCATATTTCATTTCTTAAAACAACTTTAAACATACATATTAAATATTTTTAGCTGGTCATTTAAGCATTATTTTAGCAACAGGTTCAGATGACTTTGATTTTTATTTTTTTAATCTTGTTTTGTTTTTTTTTTTCGTTCTTCACAAATCTTTTTCCTTTCTTCTTTTCGTTTTTTTCTTTTCTTCGTCCTTTTTTTATACATTTCCAAAACTTCGTCACTCGTAAAGATTCCTTAACTAATTTTCTTGCATTTTTCTATTTGTATTGAGTTTAATTGGTTCTGAAAGTTTGAGTACATTCTGAATTAAAGTTGAAGAAACTGGAAAACTGGAAATGCTGTTTCATTATAAAATGCTGATGAAAGTATATCAAGCATGAATAAAGAATTCAGAACATAGTAACCAGGGGTGTAACTCAAAAGGTTATGCAATGACTCTATGTTTTCCTTTATTTTCAGACGTAATGAAGAATAGCTGTTGCCAATTGGTACGCAAGAAGGTTCTATATGAAAAAATCAACTTAAAAATATTTAATCATAAAAATAAACTATTTTATTTATGCTGACAACCTGTATGCCTTGAACCTGATACCTTAAACAGGAGTTAATTCATTACTGATAATGTTTTTAATAGAAGAAGTTGTGTTTGAAAAATTAGGAATTTTAAAACATTCAGAAGTTACTTTTGCATCTGAATTGGAAGCAGATTCAGAATCATTATCTGTTCCAAAACACCGCTTGAAATGGTTGTTCTCAATATTTAGCGGAAAAATTACTGTGCCACGGAAACCATTAACTATTTTTGATTTTGAAATAATTCGATTATTCATCAGTTTTAAAATTTTATAAACTCAATCTCATCAACCTCTTTGCTACCATTTTTTCTTTTCCAGTCATTTACTTCCTTTTTCCATCCTAATTGGGCTGGTTCAAAAATTGATTTATCACATTTGTAGAATGTGAGTGCAATTTTGATGAAAAGACACTATGTAAATTCCCCGATTCTTGCACCATTTAAATTAATGAAAGTTAATGTGACTTGGATAATTCTCTAAAAATATGAAAACTGGACATGCAACATCTTTCAATTTGTCGTCAATTCTTTGAATATAATCTTTAAAGGAGCGTTGGTTTTGCCATCCAGATTCAGTTTGAGTGAACAAAAAATTGCTATTAACAACTCCAAAAGCATATGCAAGATTTTCTATCCGCGTGAACTTTCCTTCAAAATAACCTGGGTTTTTAACATAAAACCATTTGGTCCAAAGCAATAGCAGACAGTAATGTTTTATTTTTTCTTAACTTTATAAACTGTTTTTGTACTTTTCATTGAGAGAACTCTCTTCATACTTAAATCTAATTTAAATTTTATCTCATCGATATAGTAAAAAGTATCTGGACGATCAAGGACATGAAGTAAACCATTCTTTCTCAAAAGTTGAAAAATTTATTAAAAAATCTTCTAATTCTGTTGACTGGAACCATTGCTGCCGAATAGATTCAAGGGTATAAAACTATTCCAGGATTCCTTAAAAAGAATAATCTTACCCAATATTCCGTTACAAGTTCATTTTTGAACTACGGAGTATCTGAAGATTTTCAAAGATTCCGCAAACTAAATCATCCTTTGTTTTAGGATCACCCAAATTAGATTAAATAACAACCCATTCAACCAATTGTTAAGTAGTAAAAAATTTTACTAGTTAAGAAATTTCAAGTGAAATATAACATCTCCACAACTCGAATTTAATATATTTTCAATGAGAATTAGCAGTTATCAAATATTTTTAGCTAGAGTAAAGCGTTTTAAAAATTATTTGAAACAGAAAAAAGTATTTTTGTTTGAGTTGTTGAAGAAAGTCATAATAGTATGCATATTGATATAAGTTCTAGCTTCTAATTGTAAAACGGAGAAAAATAGAAAATCACGCACAGAAATGCAAATGCCCTAGAGCCATTACTTTTCGAACAAAATCAAATGATGGACGAAATTGTGACGCTGCTCTTTATTATACTATAAATACTATTTATTATTTGCTTGCTTTACATTATTAAATTTACTTTTTTTCTTTTTCGTAAATCACAATTTCACAATTCGCCCTTTGTTTATGCTATTACAACATAAAAAATTTTTTTTTGGAAAATTTTGGTATTTATAAGGGACTTATAAATTTTTCCGGATGTTTTGTTGGTATTCTTTGAATTTTTCAAGTAAAATGTCTTATTCTGGGTCGTATAACCTTTCAGTTCTGCGATGAAAATAAAAAACATTTAAATTTAATGTACAAAAAAATATATATTTACATATTTTATCTACTAATACAACAATAAAATGGAGCATAAAATAAATATGTATAAAAGTTTTCTATATGAAACAAATTTTTGAGATTTTTTTTTTTTTAAAAAAAAAAACTATTTTTCTGTTACATCAATATCTCTAACAGTCTGAATCCCTGACTTGAATTCTGCAACAATGCAGTTCAAGAATATTTAAAAGATACATTCAAGATAAAATGCTAACTAAAAAAGGTTTACTACTATTGATAAAAGTTAATCACGAAAGTCATTAACAAGAAAGTGATAGACAAATTTTGCTTTTTTTTGAGCTATTTGATTTTGAGTCTTTTTGCTTTGCGTTTTCGTTTGTTTAAGGGATGGTCGTAACAGTATAACTCCAAATATCGCCGCTAAAAGTAAAAGATAAATTTCGATTAAATATAAACCAATTTGTAAAAGTAGAAAAAATTAAGGTAAACAAATATAATAATACCGAGAAGTTTTGCTTCGAGTTTGTTTTCAGAACTTTGTTTCAGCAGCTCTCGCAAAAAAGCAGTTAAATAACGAAAAACATTAGCATGACATTCTGGAATTTGGCAAATTATCTAAAAATAAAGCAAGTATATTAATGTATTAGTAACTATTAATTATTAATATTAAGTATATTAATATATTAGATAATTTGGTAAATTATCTTAAATTAAAGCATGTATGTTTATATATTAGTCTGATTAATACATTCAACTGTAGTATCGTGTTTTTCAGAGGTATTTTTTTAGAGCTTTATTGTTTAGACGTTGCACAGTGGTCCAGTACCATGTCATAAATACAAAAACATACTTTGTTTTATAATAAAAACAATTTAAAAATTGAATTATATATAGTATGTGAAAATCAGATTTAAATTTTTAAGGTCCGTTATTAAAAAAAAAATTGTTTAAGGAGGGTTTGAAGTTCAAAAATTGACACAAAATTACATTTTTTCGGGCAAAAATCAGTCTGCAAACTTTTATACATTCTGACTTCTACCAATGTCACAGATATACCAATTTTTTTAAATATTCTTATAAAATATGGAGGATCAATATAAAATAACTTAAAATATAAAATTTCATAAAAAAGACACAATTTATCGCATGTTTAACACTTTTTTCTTTTAAATTGTTGAAAATAAAACTTTGAACAATCAGGAAAATTTTCACCCAGGTTTGCCCAGCTGGAAATTTTTTGCATTTGAAAAAATGATGTTTATAGAAAACTTCTGAAAAAGTTTTGGCTGCTTTTGTGTCTATAGGGTCAGTTTAAACATGACATACTTTAACTAAAATACAGCTCCCCCTCACACTCCCTATGTTTTTTAACAAGTTCAACCGCGAATATGAATAGCGGAATATTCTAGAATAAAAGCGAGCGGAAAAGACGAATAAACAAAATAAGAAATATTCACAAATATTTGCAGTAATTACTTTGTGCACTAAATACCTTTCACCACTATAGTGGTGAAATCAAATTTAAATATGAAGAACAAAGACATTTTCGATTACTTAATTAAAGGAAAATATGATAATAAATATGAAAGTTTAATTAGCAAGAAAGCGAAAACTGAAATTTGTATATTGATGTCTCAATGTTATCCGAACTACAATCAGATAAAGTTAACCGAAAAATTTATGAAAAACTTTAAAAAGAAATGGAATGAGACAGGTAGACAAAAAGGAGATTTATAAATCGTTACGAGAAATGGTTAAATATGGAATTTATTGTAAATGAACTTCAACAACAAGTTAGGATAAACCATTTACAACGAGGTGCACCATCAAAATCATTTGAAGATCTCTCAACAAGGTCTAAGAAAAGAAGATCTTCAGAGATTACTGAAAAGTTAGGAGTTACTACTGAAAGCCTATTTCATGCCCTTATCCTTAATCTAAATAAAGAAGGACAAAATAAAGACGCCAAAGTTTTAAAACATATGATGGAAAGTAAAGTTGATGGATCCTGCAATGTATCATGCTCTAAAGTCTACTCAGCTGAAGAAGCTTTAGCTTTAATGTTAGACTGTAGAATGAGTAGGGCTGACTATCAAACTATCCGTCAAGGGGCCTTAGATAAAGGTTGCATGTTATACCCTGCCTACAACTTTATTGTGAAATCTAAAAGTGATTGTATTCCAGATTCCGGAATTGTTACCACAAACTACAGTGCTTCTGTAAATCTTCAAGGAATAATGGATCACACTACAAACAGAATTTGGAAAGTTATTGATAAATCAAAACTACCTGAGCCTTGCAATACTTTTCTTCTTATAAGCAAAGTCGGATTCGATGGTTCAACTGGACAGTCTGTTTATAAACAGAGAACTGAAGATGAAGAGGACAGATTGTCATTCTCAGTTGAAGAATCTTTCTTCAACTTTTTTCATGTACAGTACCTGTGCAACTTAAAGTTCAGGAAACTAATGTTATTCTTTGGACTAACCCCAAAACATCCTCAACCCAATATTGTCGCCCTGTTTGAATGCAATACGTTAAAGAAAATCAGCAAATTGTTAAAGCAGAATATGATTTTTTTATGTCAACTGAACTCAGAACAACAACCATAGACTTATTTCAAGTCAAGCACAAGTTAGAATGTACTATGATTGACGGAAAAGTTTCCACTCTTCTTTCTCCATTAACTGATTCTTATCAAGTTTGCAATATATGTGGATAAAATCCTAAAAAAATGAATGACTTTGTAATTGCTTATAATAAACAACCTAATCAGATGTCTTTGGACTTGGGAATCCACACTCTCCATCTCTGGATTCGTTGTTTTGAATGTCTGTTACATATTGGACAGAGAAGAAGACCAGGGTACAATGATTGTGGATTTTTTCATGCAAACACTCTTGAAAAGAAAAATATAGTTGCAAGTAGAAAAAAAGAAATTCAGGAAAAAATCAAAGATACACTTGGACTTGTTGTTGATGTACCAAGAAGTGGTGGCTCTGGTACATCTAATGATGGAAACACAGCAAAAAGGGCATTTAGAAGCCATGAAACTTTTGCTGAAATAGTTGGAATTGATAAGGGTCTTGTTAAAAGATTTTTCATTATCCTTTGTGTGTTGTCCTGTAAACACCCAATTGATCCTGATAAACTAGAATTATATTGCAAAGAAACATTTAAGACATATGTAGCCCATTTTAAATGGTATCCTATGCCTGTTGAAGTTCACAAGATGATTGTACATTCACACCAGGTTGTAAGAGACAAGCCAGTTCCAATTGGCCTCTTACCTGAAGAAGCCCAGGAAAGTAGAAATAAAGATGTTAAAAATTTTCGAGAACATTTTACAAGAAAATTTTCTAGAAAACTTACAAATGAAGACGTAATGAGAAGATTGCTCTGCTTATCAGACCCCTTTATCACTTCTATGAGATGAAGTTCAGAATCAAAAAAGGAACTTGAACTTCCAGCAGAATGTTTAGACCTTCTTATGTAACTTTCTAAATAATATTATATTCTTTATATCAAACTAATTGAATTATTGATAGTATGTGTCCTAAATATATTTACTTTATTTTAAGAAATCTATAAAGCTGCATTTTTAAAATAGCACCTTTTTTCTAGTAGTATGTACACATGTTTAAACATGTTTCATTGATGTTTTTTAAAAACTCAAACCCTTCATAATTATATATTTTTAAATTGCTCAGTTTATTAAAAAAAATTTTTATATAGAAATATTGAAGAATGATTATTTTTATTTATAATCTTGGTGTAAAACCAATATTACGCGTTCTTTTTGAGTTGTTGTATGTTCTTGCTGTGCTACCATATGCACAGATTATTCATGTCTAGGTATTTACAAAAAATGTGTACTTGATGATTTCATATATCATAAATCTTAGAAATTATTTTAATTCTTTATATATTGCTGTTGAGCTTACTTTTTGTCCTTGGCACCTGTCCTTGGTGTGATACTCTGCATGTTTTTGTAATCCACCAAGATGTTATAAATGTGAAGTTTGTCCTCTAGAAAATATTTAGTTAAAAGGTATTCATAATTCTGTTAAAATAAGTTAAATGGAAGTTTTATTAAGCTATGTGTTCTTGGTGTTCTGCACAGGTATGATACTTATTCAATCGAACAATGTATCAAACATTCTGGTGACTGTTTATAGTCAATAAAAAGATGAAAATTAATATGAAATATGTGTCACATGTTTATTATTCGTTTTGCAATTTGTCCTTGGTTTTGTGTTATTGGCGTGTCCTTTAGAGGTATATAAAGCAACATTACAATAACAATTATTGTTGGTCAGAGTATAATGAACATTCACTAAAAATTTTAGCTTATTATCTTCAAAATTAGTGAAGATACGATTTATGCCTCAAAAGTGGCATTTCTGGACCACTGTGCGTTGGATAGTAGCGATCGACGTAAACTTATATTTTGCTGGAACCAGAGCCAAAAATATTTTTAATTATTCATACCTGGAATTAAAAATAAACTTAAACAGGAACAGGAACCAAAACCAATACCGAAATATTAAATGAGGTTTTTTAAAGTTATGATTTAAATAAAATATTAAATTAATAAAAAAAACTAATAACGGAGTCCAACAATTCGGAGATTATCTCGACAAAAAAATACATTTTTACAAATTTTCTAGAAAGATTGTTTTTTTTTTGTTTGAGATAATCTCTCAGCTCTAGAAAACAGTCTTTCGATATCTGTAGATGTCGGGGGTGGTGCTAGGTACATTTTTGTCATTTTGCATTTTCATAGATTTTCTAAAACTTAAGGCATTAAGAAGCCGTTGGACATTGTTCAACGCTTTTTTCCATTTGAGTTTGAGATTTCTACGGCTGATTTGCTCACAGTAATAACCCATAGGTTTTATTGCGCATTAGATAAAGGTGGAGAGGATAAGCCCATCGCTCTTGACATTTCTAAAGCATTTTCATAGATTTTCTAAAACTTAAGGCATTAAGAAACTGTTGGACATCGTTCAACGCTATTTTCCATTTGAGTTTGAGTTTTCTATGGCTGATTTGCTAACAGTATTAACCGATAGATTTTATCGCGCATTAGATAAAGGTGGAGAGGTTGAGGCCATCACTTTTGACATTTCTAAAGCGTTTCATAAAGTTTGGCATGCTGGTCTTCTCCATAAGCTTTCTTCTTACGATGTATCTGGAAACATCTTTAAGATTAATGAATCCTTCCTTTCCAATCGTAGTATAAAAGTTGTCCTTGATGGACAGCACTCTTCTTCTTATTCTGTAACCTCAGGGGTTCCTCAAGGTTCAATCCTTGGCCCTATACTCTTTTTAATTTACATTAACGTGGCATTGTTTGCTGATGATACTACCATTTATCCTTGTCACGATAAGAAGCTAACTTCCTCTGATTGCTTGCAGGGGGCATTTGAGCTTGAAAAGGATCTCACTTCTGCTACAGCATGGGGCTCACAGTGGTTGATCAACTTTAAATCAGATTAAACTCAATTTGTTTCAGCCAATCGTTATCGCAATAATTTAGACCTTCCTATATTTATGAACAGTAATGTGCTCGATGAGTCGTCTACCCTTCATCTTCCAAGATTAACTCTTACTTCTGACTTTTCTTGGAAATCTTATATCAAATCCGTTGCAAAATTAGCATCTGCTAAAGTTGCATCTCTTTATCGAGCTCAACACTTTCTTACTCTGGATTCTATTCTCTATCTCTATAAATCTCAAATCCGACCTTGTATGGAATATTGTTGCCATATCTGGGGCGGATCTTCTAATGATGCCCTTTCTCTTTTAGACAAGATGCAAAAACTCATTGTAAACATAGTTGGACCTGCTCTTGCAGCCAACCTTTGTCACATCGTTGTAATGTTGCTTCTCTTTCTCTTTTCTACTAATTCTATAATGGTCACTGTTCTAAAGAGCTAGCGTCTCTCGTGCTATCTACTAAAATTCATTCTCGTTTTACTTGTCATTCAATTAAGTCTCATCCTTTTTCATATTATAAATATAACTGCATAAACACTAAAGGTGTTTATAAATTTATAATTAAAAGCTTAGATCAGTTACAAAGACTTGCAATCTTTTAAGTCGTCTTTCAATTGTTATCTTGCTCTACAATCTTTTCTCTTCCAGTAACTTCCAACACTAATCAGTGGTTGCTTACAGCCTTGTTGGAAACGAACATGTTAAAAAAAAAAAAGATGGCACAAGAATTTTTAACATTATGTGAAAAAAGATTTTTTTTCATATTCTTCAGATAGGACTTGAGTTGCAGGAGTCAATTCATCTTTAGGAGGTTTATAAGTGTCCCTTTGAACATGACAACGTGTTTAGCATTTTAAAAAGCAGCTTGAGATATGATTTGTATCTTTGGATTTTTCCATTGCATTTTTGATAGCAATTTTAACTCTGAACACTGAATTCACTAGAAATTCTTTCCGAGACTTTAATTATTGTTGTCACAATTGGAATACAGAAACTGATGCTAGAGTCAATACCTTTTTTTTTTTACGAAGGCAACAAAAATGTTGCCTTCGTAAAAACACCTAAAATGTTCACTACTTTTTTACAGAGGCTCCGATCTTGGACAAAAAATTCAATTCCCACTAAAGGAATTAAGGTAGCAACGATGGCTGGCTTCAGGTGTAAAGTTTGCTCAAGTGTATATAATAGGTAAAATAGAAATTACCCAATTTTTAAAGAAAGAAGCTATAACTCAGTTTAGAATTGTAGATTTTAACACATTTGTCAGTTCTTTGTTTTTTGCTTGTATTGAAAATTGGAACTGTCTTTCTCTTGTTTATATTCAATTCAGCTTTTTATTGGCTTTTAGATTTCCTGAACTTTATGGTGTAAGTTTGTTGTCAGGATGATAAATTTTTAGGTGTGATGTTAGTCCATATATTCTATATTTTTTGGGGTGGTTTGAAACTTTGCTATGTCATATTTTGCAGTGAACCATTCTTGGATTATTTGCTTCAATTATGAAGTATTTTCACAATAAACTTGCTTTTCTTCTTGAATTCATTTTGTTAGCATAAAATACAAGAAGGTTTTTCAATGTAGTTGGTTTGCATCAAATACAAATGTTAAAAATATAATAAGTTTTTTATTTACAATATTTATTGCAATGATTGCTACACAAACATTCCATACAAACATTAATTACTCGCTCTTTGGATTTTAATACTAAAATTCCTTTAAGAAAATTCTAGTGTTGAAATTTTTTTCCAGAAGTAGTTGTCTAATTAGACATTGTTTTTAAACAGAAAAATTCTTGTGTGAATGCAATTAAAAACTTTGTTTTTTGTAATTTTGTAAAAAATTAAAATTTGTGAATTTAAAAATGATTGAAGAGAAAAAACAAATAATTTAGCACTTTATAGATTATATAAAATTAGGATAGAGGTTGAATTTTTTTTCCTTGCTTTTTGATCATACTACAATCTTAGAGCTTTAATTCATCTTTTTATATATATTTTTTTAATAAACCGTTATTTACAGACAATCATTGCATTTAAAATACTCTAAAAACAATGAGAAATATTTTTTTATTTGTAAACTTCACTACAATAGTAACATCAAACCTATATCTACTTTTAATTAAGTTTTCATTTTCCAAAATAGTGAAATGAATGTAAAATTCTTCCTAATACTAATTTCCTAGGGTGTAAACACCATCAATACCTGAAGGTGCAAACAAATATGTATTGTTACACATCAAATATAAAAAATAAAAATTTAAAATAATTAAAAGCTATTATACCTGCTTACACAGCACATAATTGTTACAAGAATCAATGCAAATTGACTGAAAGCGGTATGGTATAACAGGTTCAGAAAGTGCTTCTAGAAAGAGCAACAAAGCCTCGCCAACAGAAAATATACTTCCAGCTTATTATTGTCAAGAAAAAAAATTAAATTAACTATAAAAGTTAATAAATTATATTGTAAGGCTATAATAAAATATTTAAACAAAAATTTCAAAAGATCTATAGTGTCAAAGTTATAGGATTGAAAGTTTTTTTCGAAAAGCTCTATAAACACTATATATAAAAAAAAACATATTTGCTAGATATCTTGGAAAAGATACGCAACTTTCCACCTGTTCCAGTATCTAAATGTTTTTGAATTTTTATTATATCTTCGTCTGTGCCACATTGCAGCAAAATGTTTTCCTAAATTATTTTATTTAATTTTTTTGATAAAAATAAAAGTAATAAAAATTTAAGTATTATCATTTTTTTCAGTACTTGCGTCATTCCATATTTATGAAGATGATCAATCAGTAGCCAAAGTTCCTTGGGTATCTCCAGAGGCTCATTATTATCAAAAATACCATCAGTAGTATCAGATGATGACTTATTTTGCTGTTAATTAAAAAAAAAAAGATTAAAAAAAAAATCAGATTTTCAGAAACATCAAATATTAAACATTTGGTTTTATTAAGCAAGTAGTTTTAATAAAAATTGCAAAATAATTTAATCAAAATATTGTAGGGCTTTTATTAAATATTAGTATTTGTAGCTATAAAAAAAAAGTCACTAAAAAAAAAAATTTTTAAATACTAACATATTTTATAACTTTATCAAGCGATAATTGGCTAATTGGACCATAAATATAACAAAGTGACTGCAGACAAGAGCCAAATACACTTGGTTTGAATGTTCCACTTATTGTGATCTGAATTGTTAAGTTAAATAGGCGCTAATAATTTAGTCATATTTTTACTGAAAAAAAAGTTTCTTATTATAGTTATTATTTGTGTGTGTCTACATGTGTGTACATACACGCACGCAAGTACAGGCAGCAAAAAGCACATAAAACAACAAAAACAGCAAAAAAACAAAAGTTTGGCAATTTTAATTAAAAAAATATTATTACCTAAAAATGTAAAAATAAACTTCAATTCTTTGTTTATTTTTGTTCCCTAGGTTAACAAAAAGGAAGCCATTGAGGAAAACTTACTTTTTAAAAACTACTTTGCTACTCATTTGGAAGTCATCATAGAACTGTGAAAAAGTAGTACTGGGTTGTAAAATTTTTCCAGGTTAATCCAATGTTGTGTAGTAAATAAAAATCTTGATTTACTAGCTTGAAAAGGCCAATAAAACCAAAAATCCTATTCAAAAGAGACTGCCAAATAACAAAAATTGGATACTATGTTAAAGGTCTACTGTGATGTTGAGCAACAAATTTATAATTCCAAAATGTAAATTACAAGGGGTTTCAAACTTAAAAATGGGGGCTAAAATTTAAAATCAACTTAAACCTGAGCATCACAAACCTGAGCATCACATGGTTAAATATGAGAAATATATTTTATATATAGGCTTACTTTAAATGTACATGCTTTTAAAAAAAGTGACAACAGGAATTGCTCGTAGCAGCTAAAGGAGTAGTTGAATCAAAAAATTCTCGAGATACTTTTTAGATAAAGGGTTGAAGAATTTTTTGATAAGTATTTAAATTTTTTTCTTCAACCAGAAGTTGGTGTAATAACCAGCTCAAAAAGTGACTCACTGCGCACATTCAGCAGGTTCTCTGGCACTTCCAGTTCTGCTGATCAAAAAAATTCTTGATCAAAAAAATGCCCACAAATGTCCTCTTTAAAATGATACCAAATTTGTTATATGTTGAATGGACCATCACAGAAATATTTAAGCAAAACCAAAGAATGGACTTCTTTGAAAAAAATGTTTAAAAAAAGGAAAAAAAAAAGAAAAATAGAACAAGCTATTTATAGATTTTAAACTAAACGGAAAAAGTATAATTTCATTTAAGAAAAAGTGGTTTAACTTTCATTATTTTTGTTTTTAAATCTTGTAGCGATCCAAAATTTTTGCAATTAGTTTTAAATTGGTCGGTTGCAAAGCTGGTTTAATATGTTAAAGCACCAACATTTAATTTTTAGTTATTTCATGGATATAAGCAAATTAGTTTCTTGCACAATCATGTTGCGTAGCTGACCGCTGGGAAGGAAAAGTTGGCTTTTTTCAACAATTTTAATTTTTTTTTTAAATCCTTGTTGATTATTTACGTCAACTAATTAGCCATTTTAAAGTTTTGCAATAATAAAAAAAATTTGGCATCAAATAGTTAAAGAAAACCTACTCAACTTCCTGTTGCGTAGCTGACTGCCATAACTAAAAATTGAAATGTCGCAAATTTTTCAATTTTTTTTAATGCAATAAACAGTTTTGCCTAAATTATTTTGAACTTTAAAACATTTATAGTCAGTTAGAAATTACTTAAAACTCAAATCACTCATCATTTGCAAATGTACAAGTTAAAGGAAAGTATATAAAAAAATTGAATTGCTCTCTTCACAAAAGGAACTGTTGTGTTGTTTACTCAATGAAACTCAACCATTAACTTACTAAATTCCTAAATAAACAAACAGTGTCAGAGAAAAAGACTTATGTCGAATATGCGCAAAAACGGAAGATTATACTTCTGTAGTGATAGGAGAAAAAAAGGCATGTGTTCAAATTCAACACATGTTATATACGCTAAAAGAAGCTTTTGAAGAATTTAAGCTAAACAATGCAGATATTAAATTAAGCCTATCAAAATTTTGACAGTTGAGACCAATTTACATTCGATGTGTATCATCAATTCCTCATAACGTATGCGTTTGCATGTTACATGAAAATATGCGTTATGCTCTTGAATCACTTTTGCGGGGATCAGATATATTCACTACAATTAAAACGGGAAACTCTATGATTCTAAACTTTATTTGTGAAAAACCAACAAAACAATGTTTCAATGCCGCTTGCAAGGAATGTACTGTTTGTAATATGTTTAATAAATTATTACTTCAGTTCGAACAATTTGAGTTAGACGTTTCATGGAAACATTGGCAGAAACCTCAAGCAAAATAGTATATCAAAATAGAAAAGATTAAAAAAGAAGGAACAATTGCAGTTTTACTATCACACATTAAAGAAATGCGTGCAAAGTTTGTTATTCATTGTAATGTCAAAAGCAGTCAATCGTCCGTATTTAAATTTAATATAGAATCAGCAATTCAAAAAGACTCAAATAAGGCTGTTATTCAAGTTGACTGGGCAAAAAATTATACTTGTTTTTACCAAAACGAAACGCAAGCAGCTCATTTCGGTCAAAATCACATTTCAATTTTTACAAGTGCAGTTTGGCATCGTCAAATTAAATCTTTTGCGCTAGTTTCTGATTCAAGCGATCATACAAAATTATCAGACAATATTACAGAAGTTCATATTTTCAGTGACAATGCAACATCTCAATTTAAAAATAAGTACATTTTAGCATCAATGAAAATTTTAGAAAATAAGCATTCAATTAAAATGCACTGGCATTTTTTTGCTGCAATGCATGGAAATGGAATTGTGGGTGGAAAAAATGCTTTAACTGAAAAATATATAATTTCTAGCGCTAGCGATTTGGCAGCTGCTACAAACAATTTAAAAATTACTGTTGTATTACTGACTGATAAAGAAAAGCTAGAGATAAACAACTCTTTTTTTAAGAAAACAAAAAAAAATTAAAGAATTAAAAAAGAGACGTTGTAGAGGAGCAGCTTTTGCCAAATATTGCATAATATCAAAGGAATAGAAACGTCTAGACCAGGCAGTGACCAGGTAACTTAAAAATCACCTTAATAAGCTGTGCAAAAAAATTTTATCATTTCTAAGAAAAAGCTATAAATATAGTATTAGATTTGTTTTGTATTTTAATTTTGATTATAATAAAAATTCGCAAGTTGCATAGCTGATTGTTGCGTAGCTGACCGCATGATTTCTTAAAACCTTTTTTATTTTTACCTGCATCTGTTATTATATATAAAGTCTTTCTTATTTTTTTCAACACTTTTTAGTTTTCTAGGGTTATGTTTCATGACATTTTTTACGCAACTTAGCTCGGAAGGTTTATTCATTTTATCCTTAACTACGGTTCGATCAAAAATAACAGCTTACACGTTTAAAGAACTTCTAGTTGTTGTTTTATAAATTATTTTAGTTGTCCAAATAATTGATGCTCTTAAAGCTTTGAAGATCAAAGTTCCAAAGTAAATGTAAGTTAAATGAATGTATTTATAAACATCCTTGAGTTAAAAATATTTTTATAATAAGGTTGTGAACAGATAAAAATAATAAGAGTACATTTAAAAGGAAACCATTCCCTACCCCCTAGCCCCAATATTTTAAAAATTGAGAGTACTGAGGCTCCTAAAGCCCCCCTCCCCCTTTTTTCCAACCCGGGGTCCAGGTATCTTTTAATGTAAAATCATCTTTATAAACTTTATAAATAAATTTTATTGTTTCTAAATACAAGCTGTAAATATAATTTTAGATTTGTTTTAGGTTTTAATTTGAATTATAATAAAAATTTGCATGTTGCGTAGCTGATTGTTGCGTAGCTGACCGCATAGATTTTTGAAAACTTTTTTTTTGATGTGTAATTATTATATTTAAAACTTTTTATAAATTTAACTTCAATGTAATAATTGTTTTTGAAGAAAAAAAAGTTTTTATAAAATAATAAATAAAAGATTCGGAGAAAAAATAATTCAAACTTTAAATAAAAAAAAAAAACAAGCTTTTTTGCGCGTTGCATAGCTGACCGCTGTCTTTTAATTCTACTTTACTTAAATTTTCTTCTAATCCTTTTTTTTTTGATAATAATAAAAAAGGATAATTTGAGTGCAAATGTAAAAAAAAAATTAAAAATTATATAAGTCAGTTAAATTTTTAAAAACATGTTGCGCTCATTGCGTAGCTGACCATAGAACTCTCTCTCTCTATCTCTATCTCTCTCTCTCTCTCTCTCTCTCTCTCTCTCTCTATATATATATATATATATATATATATATATATATATATATATATATATATATATATATATATATATATATATATATATATATATATATATTTTATTATTATTATTTAGACTTTCGTACAAATTATCTAAAAGTTTAAATAGGCAAATATTTGATAAAGTTGTTGCATGTGTAACGTAAGTTAAAAATGGGATTGCCTATATATTGAATTCTGTTTTATGTATATGTTTATATATAGAATTTTATATAAATATGTATGTATATATATATAGAATTCTATATAAATATTTATAAATTAAATTCATTCTATATATATGTATATACAGTATGGTGCAAAACTGAACCAGAGTTTTTAAAAAAATACAAAATTATGTTTTATTTTGTTTTCGATATATTAGCACTGTCGGGATTATTACAGTAGTAAAGTACTAATTTTTACGACTTTTTACACCTTTTACCCCAATGCACAAGCATTTTTATCTAGTGATAAACATCTTTTGACTCAGTTTTGCACCATACTTGATGAAGGAAATATCTTTATTATTTTTCTCAAATTAATTTAATAATTTTGTGTGCAAATCGATTGACTATATTTAAATCTAAAATAATTTTCTACTTTCATAAATTTTTAATGTTTAAATTTATTGTTTTTGATATTTTTTTTAATATAATGGGAATTTCAAAGACAGAGAGTGATTTCATAAAAAAGATGATCGAAGAAGGAAATACAACTCGTAAAATTGCTTCCAAATTAAAAGTTAGTCAAAGTACTGTGCAACGAATTAGAAAAAAATGTGGACATATTCTAAAAAAAATGTTGGCAGTCAACCAAAGAAGTTGAGTGCGGTAGACAGTA